AAGAAAAGAAAAGAAAAAAATTAATTAAAAAAATAATAATAATAAAAGGGGGGAGCAAAACGCTGCGTTTTGCTCCACCCCTAATATATATTATTACAATCTTCTTCTTCATCTTAGCGGAGAACGAACACGAGCGGACGCTGGACGGCGGCTGAGAAGGAAAAAACAGAGCAACAGGGAGGGAGAACACGAGAATCATCATCATCGGCCACTTCACCTTCGTCTTCTCGGCTGATCTTGAACGCGGAACCATAGAGCACACACAAGACCCACGAGCTGGAGGCCGCACGAGACAGAGCTGAGGGCAGGGACCAGTGACGGCTGCGCGAACAGAGTGAAGGACCAGCGACGGCGTGAGAATGAAGGACTGAAGTCACCAATCCCCGTCTCCTCTGAGCCTTCATCTTCCATCGATGGCATCACCTTCACCTTCTTCTCCGCGTCTTCTTCCTGGTGGCAGAAAGTGAGGCGAGAGAGGAGACGCACACACGCTGGGCGGCGAAAAAGCAGAACAAGACGCGACGCACACGAGAACCAGCGGCGCACAGGGACCTGTGAGTGAGAGAGAGTGACAGCACCATTCTTCACCTTCGTCTTCTCTTGGGCACGACGGAACGAGCGACGAACAGAGGCAGAAAGCAGGGAGCTGGACGGCGTCATCCTTCATCAATTTTTCACCGTGTTCTCCCGGCGTGAACAGTGTTCCTCCATGGAATTTTGCAGCAGAATTTTGATTACAACAATTTTGATGGCAAACCGAGGCTAGAGTCTATAATTCTCTAATTCAACAATAATGGCAGGAGCTTGGATCATCAAAGGGGAGTTTTAGTTGCTTTAATTTCCTGTCTAATAATTGTTTAACAATTCTTAGGTCTTAGGATAGTTATTTTGATTATTAGAAAATTTTGTATTGTTAAATCTGATTATCTGTGGAGATTTTTGTGGCTGGATTATTGTTTAGCATTTAACATTGGGTTGTTTATAGCTTTGATTTCAATTATGATGTTGTGGTTATGACATTTGTATTGATTTTGGAGTTAATATATTGTGATTTTATGAGGCGGCTTGGAATCTTGGATTATATTGTCTCTTGTTAGCTTTAATTTTATTATTTTGGATTTAAGAATTTTAATTAAGCATTGGTTTTTAGCATCCTTAATTCTATTTTACTATTCTGGTTGCAGTTAGTAAATTAGAATTTTGGGAAAATATTCTGTGGCAATTCGAAGTGGCTCGGTTGTTGGATTAAAAGCTTGATTATAATTCTTAATTCATTGTTTTAACTCCCGTATCTTTTGGAGTGAGGATTGCCTGTGTTGTTGAATTGGAGGATTGATTATTATCATTGTTATTTATGTGTTTCATTTTCATTTCTTTAATCTTCATTCATTTTAATCATTTTTATATAAAAACAAAAAAAAAGTATTTTAACTTCAATTTAATTCAAGGCATTTAGTTAGCAATTCCTCAAAAATCAAAAATCATTTTTTATAGTTTAAGCTACTTGCATTTATTTACTAGGATTTAATTTCATTTTCGGCTCCTCAAAGTGAATACGACCCGGATTGTGCACTATATTGCATTAATTCGGTTAATTTTTGGAGTAACCCCAAAGCGACAAATTAAGGGCAACTAAGAACATAAACTATTATTTAAAAAATATAATTCAAAAATTCTAAATTTGGACTGTCTCAATTTAGTTTAATGTGAAACCTATTGAAAAAATGATAGAAAATTATTTAATTAAGGATGTGCTCCTCTGATCTTATTTAAAAGACAGACAAAGAAAATGTTCTTAGTCTTATTTATAAATTATTTCATTAAATTTTTAACACGAATGTATTATTTTATCCATCATTATTTATTATAATATAGATAGTTATTTTTAAAAAATATATATATATTAAATAAGAGTAAAGTTGAATAGTTGTTATACTCCTCTGGTCCTATATAAGACCCCTTTTGTGGTGTAATTTACATCACAAAAGAGGTTTTATATTTAGGACCGGAAGAGTATTTTAATGGAGAGTTAGTATAATTTAAGGTTATCTTTAGTCAGTGTGAAACATGCTAAAAGTATCTTATAAATAGAATTAGAGAAGTAAATTAGACAAGACGAGCAGATAGTCTCTAGTCCTACAAAGAATGGTAGAAGGAGAAGAAAAAGGATAATGATACTAATAATTTCTCCTGGAAGCGGAAACCGCCGTCGAGTTGACCAAATCTTATAAACAGTCATGAGGCATGCATATTTCTCCCCCTAATTTTGGCCAACTCATGCCTTAGTAGTCACGTGGGTATAAAGAATATTCAAAACGGTGACGCACATGATTATTACTGCCTCCAGATCTGATTATAAGACCTCTTTTATGGTTTATAAACAAAGTCTTACAAAATAAGATTGGAGGTAATATTAATAATCACTGGTTAATAAAATATCTGTGGTCATTAGAATTATGTGAAAGAAATATGCTATATATGCATGTAGCTTTAGAGGGTGTTTGGGTGGAAACCAAATTATGATTTTAAAAGTGATTTTATGGTATATAAAATAAATACGTAAAAAGAGTTTTATCTCGGTTTATATAAAAATATTTTTTAAAAATGCTTTTGCATGATCCCAAATACCTTTTGCGTTTGCGTGATTTTTAGGGAGTGAAGTGTTTCAAAGTTAAATTAGGCTGCACCACATAATTTGCATGTTTATATATTATTCCATTTTATCTATTTTCATTGACAAACAAGCCCAACCAATCAGTATAATACCAATGAAGTCATGTGAAATCAGTCAATGTCAGTGCTATAGTCTCAAGAGATTCATTTAACAGTGAAGTTACATCTTTTAATTTTTCCAGAATCTGCAACGTAATAATCAGTATCCTTTCATTAATTAATAATAAGTTAACAACTTCGATTTTTAGTATTAATAACTATAAATTTGAAATTTGTAATTCGTTTTTCTTATCATCCTTCACTTGACAGAAGGAACTCACATATCTATCGCGCTCATAGAAAGTCGAACATGCAACTTTATGTCCTTATACTAAAGTGAAATTTAAAGAGGTAGTAAGTGTCAGTTGAGTCAAATGGCTACAGCAAATTAAATTAGCAACTCTTTTACGTAAATTTAATTCGAAAATTATTTTCTAATGGTCAAAAATTATAAAATATTCTTTATCAACTGGACGCTATGTATGTTCAATGTACATATACATCATTTAATTTGTACAACTTTATTACTTACATATCCCATACATAATGAGCCATGCCTTCTATTATCAATCTAGCATTTGGTCTTCCACATATTACATCTTCCCATTTATATCCTTCACAAGTTTGACACGTATGATTTCAAACTTCCGCGAAACAACTTATCCCAATTTGATCCCTCTCCATATCATCTAGTGAAACACAAATAGGATTCAAATATTATATTGGGTCTTTCTTCACGTAGAAAGGAAACTCAGGATGAGATTACCAGTGTTCAACCATACTTCGAACTTAATAATTTTCTTCAACGAAAGAATAGGCATGAATAAAAGGATGGCGCGTGTGATATATAAAACTCTTAGAAGGGAATATATATATATATATATATATATAAAAGCACGCCATATGTAATGATGTATGCATATATATGATTAGCTAATGGTATATATTGATACTGATATGTGTGTGTATATGTATAATAATATTAATGATTTCTTCTGGAAACTGGAGATTGACGTGGACTTTTAAAAATCTTCTAAACCGTCCAGAGGTTTATATTGATTTTTCTTTGGCCAACTCATGCATTAATACTGCTACGGGGAAGATTGTTGACAGACTGATGCTACTTTGGTCTCCGCCGGCACTGTTGGAAAGTGAAGAGATTGAAAAAATCAAATTTGCCTGCGGTAGTGCCCCAAGTAATTTGTTTGTGTTTATTTTAATTCTAGAATGACAAATAAGGTGAACCGAATTAGTGTAATGTCAAGGAAGTCTCGTCAAAGTCAGCTAATGCCATTAGTCTTAAGAGACTTATTTAGCAAATAGGTTATTGTCTCTCTTAACAGGCCCTCAAGTGTCATTCTCCAAATTTTTTAATAGGTACATTAATTAAAGGTCAACCGTATCTGAGTCAACGGTATCATGGTGGTTTCTTGTAAATTGCGTTCCCTTTGCTCTCGATCTTCTCATTTTTTTTCGCTCATTGCTTCAGAGTTCTTGATTCTCCTTTGGAACTCCAAGAAGACACACTTGAACGGGGCCTCAACTCTTTGCCGGCGATGTCTTCACCCTCTCTGTGGACTCCTCAAGACACCCGGCCATACCGCCGTCTCCTCTCCTACAGTGATTACTACTCTATAGTGGTGCCACCATCTCTCCCGCCGTCTTCATGGCTGTCTCCCTCACCATCTCCCTCGCCATATCCCCCGGTGAATGTCCCGCCACCATCCCGGCAGGATGGATCAAACACAGGCGATCTGTTCCTGGGGGCTTTGCTTAGTTCACTGATGACTTTGGTGCTGATAACCTTGGTACTGGGTGCCATTTACGTATGGAGAAAGAGGAGTCATTCACCACTTCCACCAAATCAACCAGCTGGTAAACCTTTTCTGCTTTCCTTCTTTTAAGCATTTCGCTTTGCAATTCTATGAGGATCAGGTTCCTTTTCAAGTTCGCCATTTCTGGGCTTTGGAGTTCCTGCCTCCTGTGATACCTTTGTAATGCCCCAACTTCTTGAATATTTTTTTTTTCTTTTAATTATCAGGTTTTTTTTTTTTGCTTTTAACCATTAGATTTTATATAAAAGGAATGATATTTTGAAATTTTACGAGGACAATTAAGGATCCTTTCGAACCACGATCAACAACGTATATTGGGAGTCATGTCCAATTATTTTTTGCTTTTTGGGTAGATGTATGGTTGTGTCCAGATTAGAACTGGACCTAGTTGAGTTTTGTTCTTTTACTACTATATCTACATATGTGTAGACACACACACAGTATTGATTATTGATGTCACCTTCTCTTGCAGCTGAAGAGGTTGCAGTTTCACTTCTACCATCTTCCATTACGTTTGATCATTCACCGGGCACATTTACATACGAAGAATTAGAATTGGCAACAGGTGGATTCTCAGAGTCAAATTTTCTGGGCCAAGGTGGTTTTGGCACTGTCCATAAAGGAGTACTTCCTAAAAATAATCAAAGTGTTGCCATTAAGCAACAAAGATCTGGAAGCAAACAGGGAATGCAAGAGTTCCAGACTGAAGTGCAGGTCATTAGTCGAGTCCATCACAGACATCTCGTTTCCCTTGTTGGATACTGCACTGCCGAATCTCAAAGGACGTTGATGCTTGTTTATGAGTTTGTCCCTAATAAAACCCTGGACTTCCACCTCCACGGTATGATTTAGAGCCTATTTCACAATGTTGTAGATTTCTTTAGTTTTTAACCACTCTTTCAGCCGTTGGTAAATGGGCAAATCACTATCAGGTCACAAATAAAGAATATAATTATTAAAAAATTCCCAATGATAAGTAGCAGTTTGAAACTTATTGTCATTTCCTATACAAGAACTTGTCATTAACTAGTTTTGAGACTTTATAATAATTATGTTTTTTCTTTGGAACTACACAATGTAATTTCCCCTTGATAAATCATAAAAATTGTTAATGAAGGGGAGGTATCATAACATGTATATGGATGTGTTAAACATAGGCAGGAATGTTTCTAAGATCTTGGAATCTCTAAATGTTGGAGATTTTGAATAAGGATTTCATTCCTTGGGAAAAAATGAACTGAAGTATCCCTACTATTTATAGCATAATGAGAAGGTCCATTTATAGTTCCTATAAAAGAAGTCTTAGTCCTAAAAGGAAGAAATAGTGGGATGGGCTTAATTGAAACCCAAATATCGTTCAAAAGGCAAATTTGATTTTACCAGATATAGGGGACGGGTTACATTCTATGAATGTAGACATCCACATGAAATAATTGTGATGAGAAGTCTTTTTTTTTTTTTTTTTTTGACAGTGTGATAATTCATTATTTGTTTACTTTAGGAAAATTGTTCCTATGGATGAATGCATTGGCTGCTTATATGCCATTAGTACCTACATATCAGTGTTCGAACAATTTTATGTTGAAACAGGATGTACTGCCTTTTGGTTTTAAATAGAAGAGGTAGTTAACTAATTTGTATATATTAAGAAAATTAGTTAAATTAGTTACTTGTAAAAAAATGTGTTGGTTTTTCTAAAGTACTTCTATAGTTATTTGCATTGTACCCTTTAATATGTGTAAGGAAAGTTTGGGACAGAATTATAAATTTGAGAGATAAAATAGACTAGGATATTATATTTAGGACAAAAAAACCCCTTTATTAGCTGTTATATTGAGGACCGAGGATAATACATAGATTTCCTTTATATGCTTTATATGCTTGTTCATTGTGGTGGAAATGATATGTTGCCTAGTCTTATAAAGATACAATAATGGATATATATGTGCAATCATTCAGGAAAAGATACAGACACTCTGGACTGGTCAACAAGGATGAAGATTGCTAATGGCTCTGCAAAAGGATTGGCATATCTGCACGAAGACTGTGAGTTTAATTACTTGATATAATATCCAATAATAAAGCAAACTTATTTCACTTATTAATTAATCATAGAAGGTTTCCTTTTTCAGTCCACTATTGTTTGTTACGTTGTAGGTGAACCCAAAATCATACATCGTGACATCAAGGCAGCTAACATTCTTATTGATAACAATTTTGAGCCAAAGGTAGGTCTCTCATTCTATTAATGCAAGTTTTAATACCTCGTTAGAGATTCAATCAGAGAGAAACCTCAATTTTCTTGTTCAACCACCATAGAAAAGAAGTCATGTGTATGAGAAAGAAATCTAGAATAATTACAATTTAATCCAGGACAATCGTCAAACTGTATCAACATACATATCTATAAAAAAGGGGGAAAAATAATGTCTTTATTGTATCTATTCATCAGATTGCAGATTTTGGACTTGCCAAACTTTCATCAGACAATGATACCCATGTCACTACAGCCCGAATAAAGGGAACCTTTGGGTGAGTCTTACATCAGTCTTATACTCCCTCCGATACTAAATATAAAACCTATTTTATATTATAAATTACACTGGAAAATTGGTCATATATTTAACACCAGACGAGTATTAGCTAACTTCTCTGGTCTATCTCTCGACGAAGTCTGTGGATTTCCGTTAGATAATACATACGTTTCTTTGAATTACCTTCTTTTACCATTAACTGTTTCTTTCCATCTTCACGCATAAGGTTCTGGTTTCATTAAATATAGATACTTGGCTCCAGAATATGCATCTAGCGGTAGACTCACAGAGAAGGCAGATGTCTTCTCCTTTGGTGTTGTGCTCTTGGAGTTAATTACTGGACGAAAACCTGTTCTTCAAACTGGGTCTTTCACAGAAGACAGTCTGGTTGAGTGGGTATGTGAGCGGTGCTTTACTATTATTTTTCCTTTTCGATCTGAAGTTCGTGCTCGAATTTCTTTGTTTAAAGAGGAATGGATCTGATTGATAGACAAGTGATTGCAGGCGAGACCTTTACTCTCGACAGCGTTGGGGAATCGAAATTTTGAGGTTCTTGCTGATCCAAGGTTGCATAATAATTACAACTCCGAAGAGATGTTTCGGATGGCGTCTTGTGCTGCAAATTGTGTGCGCCACTCAGCAGATCATCGTCCTCGAATGAGCCAGGCCAGTGAATCATCCATTTAAAATGCGTTTTTGAGTGTTTTGCTTCCTAGTATTCTTTTCTCCATTTTTCTTCCCATCCAAACTAAGAATAAGGGTGTGAGTAAGTTGTGAAGAGTTTGTATAAATTTAATGAGATGTTTATGCAAAAATGAAGCAGGTAGTGGATGGTTTAGCAGGAAAGATTAGCGTGGATAATTGGAACGAGGAGAGCACAGAAGTGGACCCGAACAAGTTTTGGAAGGGGGCACTAGGCGGAGGCAGTAGCACTGGAGAATACAGTGAGCCTATCAGTTCATCAAGCCGCGAAAATACAACTGAAGGCTCTTCTTGAGATTCTGCTTAATAGAGATTATTTATCTTTGATCTATGCAGATAATTTATTGGCACATTTTGTGCCAATCTACAAATTGGGTTTGCTTGGCCATTTTAAAACTATGTAAATTAAATTATGACTGCGAACCCTCTCAATGTTGTCTCATTCTCTCATTTTATGCTCAAAATTTTAAATAGGATTATAATTATACATAGCTACCATATTTTTGAGTAAAAATATTTTGGATAATGATACTTATCCAAATATGATGAACCCGTACGTATTCATATCTGATGTTCAATCATGAAAACCAATCAATAACGAACAATAATGTCCTTGTAACCTAGTAATATAAAAGCTCCATGCGTGAGTTTCATTTCACTTATAACCCCAAACTGTTAATACCTACCTCTATAATTCACAAAAAAAAAAAAAAACTACTCATCATAAGGGCTGCCATAATGCCACATAAGAATAATTGTCATGCACGTGTGCATGAGAAGCAGAAGTCATATCTAACGTTGAGAAGTTTAAGCAGCTCATAGTAAATGAACTGATACTACCTTTAGTTCTTAACTTTAGTTCTTAATATAAAAGGTAGATAACTAATTTATGAATATTAAAAAAATTAGTTAAATTAGTTATTTATAATAAATAGATATTGTGTTCTAACATACCCTTATTAATTATTCCTATTTGATAGTACTCCCTCCATCTCATATTATAAGCAACAACTATCATCTCCCTCTTATCCTTAAATATAAGTAATATTTACAAGTTGTCTTAAATTTTTGTAGCGAATTCTCTATTTTGCCCTCATTAATTACTTATTTTAATATTCAATATATTTATTATCTCATTTCTCAAACCATCATCTCTCCATCACACATTCTCTCTTTTGTAATTCTCTTTATTATAATAATTTTCTTATTCTCTCTCTCCCTCATAAATAAGGACATTTTAGTGAAAAAAACTTCTAATTTTTACACATTTATTGCTTTTAACTAATTTTAATTAATACTTTGATCTACGCGATGAGGTCTAATATTACTTATAATATGGGATGGAAGGAGTAATTTTTAACATACAGCGAGCAAGAAACCCATAGAGAAGTCAGATATCTTCTCCTTTGGCATTGATAGTGGACGAAAACCTGTTGGTGCTACAGAGACTTTCCAAATGGCAGTATGGATGAGTGTGTCAGTACCTTATAATATTTCTCTTTTATATAATTCCGTCCATTTTTTCCCTTTTACATATACCGGTCTTATTGATAGACAAGCGGTTGTGCTGCGTTTATGTTCATTAAAAATTCTTGGAAAATGTAACATCTCGGACATTCTGATTTAGGATGAGCAAAAAAAAAATCATTAAAATTATTTAATAACCAAATAAAATTGAAAAAAATTATGGAATATTGATTTTCAAGTTTAGAGATATTTTGGAAAAGTTATTTTCCCTAAAAAATGACTTAAATAATTTTAATACATAATTTTAACAGGAAAATGACTTATTTTTAAAGAAAATTATGGAAAAATACTTAGAGATTTATATTTAATCTGAAAATTTTCGGATAACCAGTTGTGATGGTAAAGAAGATAATGGAGGCATAAAATCCTTAAAATGGGGCAAGGATTAATTTCTGAAATTAAGTGCTATTTTCTTAAAAAATTCAAGAAAAATAGTTAGGAGTTGATTTTTGACCTGAAATTTTTATGAAATTTAGTTTAGAGGTCGAGGAAGATAATGGATGAAGAAAACCCGTACAGAACATCAAGGATTAATTTTAGAATTAGTTTGATTATTTCAGAAAAATAGTAGAAGGATGAAATTCAAAGAAAGCAGAGTGTAAGGGCAAAATGGACATTTTGTTTTTACTCCCACTTTACACGTGTGCTTGGCCCTTTAACCATCATCTTACGCACCCACCTCCCTCATTTCACTTCCGCCTCACGCAGGGAGACGCGAGCGAGGGGAGTGACGGAGGAAGAGAGGAAGCAGGAGGTAGTGATCGGAAACCGTTTGTTGCATGCAAGATTGGATCCTGAACAAGGTGAGCCTCTTAAACCTTCTTCACTCTTCTTTTCTGGGTTTGCTGCGTAGCTATGGCGTGTTTGAGAGAAAGAGAGAGAGACAGAAACGGGTAGTGAGAGAAAGTGAAGGAAAGAAGAGGAGGACCGGTTGGTTCGTGTCCTATGGCAAGAATGAGGTATATGATGCTGGTTTTTGAGCTTTCATGTTACTATTGTCTCTGTTTCATGAATTCCTGAACAGAGCATGTCATTTCTGAGTTCATAGGCATCGGGTTTGAGGTATTAGGAGAGAGGAAACGTGTATTATATGAATATGAAGTTGCATGTTGATAATGGTGGTTGTATGTGGATTTATTACTCTGTTTTTGTGAGCCGAAACAGAGCTTTAGTTTTCTGGTTATGGGAAAACAAGATAATAATGAAGATGTTCTGTTTTATGTCGATTCCTTCTCCGTTTTGTCTCGGCCGAACAGGGGCGTATATTCCTCTGAGTTTTAATTCTGAATCTTGTTGAGTTGGATGGATTAATGTTTGCTTAAGTTAGATATGGCCCTGCATGTGAAAGGACGAAGGAGGGATGCTATTTAATGTGCTTATCTTGCTTTGATTATTGCTGGCCGAGAGTAACCGAATATAGAAACCAAAATTTTGGCCTTAAGGAGTTGGAATCCGTTGTATTGATGCTGGGTTGGTTTTGGTAGAAGGATAAGAATGAAGTGTGGTATGTATATATTCGATTGTTTGTGTGTACTGAACATGGGAGCTGATAGTTAATGACACTGAAATCTGGTAAATTTCCAGATTTGTCATAGAGGAGAATTTGGAGTGCTTGGGTTTATATATGTATGTATGCTTATGTTTGTGTGGGTATGCCTGAGGAGTGAGTTTGGAAGCTAAAATCAGATTGGAAGTGAAAAGTGACACACACACACACATGGCGGGAGGAAAGAAGGAAACTAGATTAATATATGCATGTGCTGTTTGGTTGCTGTTGTCCGTGAGGTTGATAATTGGGAAAGTTGGAATTTTCGAATTATTGAAGTTAAATAAGTATCTTAAAGGTATATGAGTTGCTAATAATAAGTAGAAAAGTTCGTAGATTTATTTTGAAATGTTAGATTAAATTATTTAGTGGAATAAGGAAAAGTAAAGTTAAGAAGTATGAAGATAAAAAAAAAATTAAATTACTGTCAAGAAAGATTTTGGGTTGAATAGGTTTAAGTGGAAGGGAACTTTTCCCAATTGAAATAGTTGAACAAGTGTGGTGGCTTGATTATGATTTTGGAGGTTGCATAGGTGAATATATGGTTGGATTAATTGGGTGGTGATGGCCGAAGGGTTGAGGGAAAAATTTATGTTTGAAATTAAGAAAGAATTAAACTTTACTTGTGTTCCGAAGTTATTGGCAAAAAAGAAGAGAAATCAAAAAGGAAAATAGCTACATAATAGGTACAAGATGTGAATGTGATGATAGATAGATATTTGTTGTCAATTTGTGAAGAAAAGAAACTGCCTTGTTTCTTTAGAATATAAGTGTTAATTGAAGTTAAATGAGAATTAAAATAATATATATAAATATGTGTGTGTGTGTATAAATCTTTACTTTCTCCATGATACCAACCACTTAATAGTGGAACTGAAATTGGAATTGGGGACATGGCGTTACCCTTAAATGCAATAATTAAAGATAATATATTTGACCAAGATGACTAGTTACTAAGTAAAGTAACTGTATGGGTTGAGATAAGGAAGGAAGTGTTCTAAAGAAAATAGTTTGAATAAGAAAAATTGTCCAGGATGACCAACTATTATGTAAGGGTAGAGATTAAAGATTTGGGATTTAAAGAGAGTTATTTAATTTATGAATTATAGTTGGATCAAATATTGATCTACTCTTACGAATATGATAGGTTTTGATATATGCTCAAACTCACCAGGAAGCAGAAAGAAAGGAGAACGATGATTTGGAGGGAAGCAGACTAGGTAGTAGGTCTTTCCTACCTTACACTTATATATGATTACTGCATGTCTGTTTGTGTCATATTGCTTTTCTAAACCATAAGAACATGTAATCCTTAATTCCTTGCATGGATTATTTAGCCGTGATCGCGTGTAGTTGATAGACATGGGGCATTATCTGCCAATTATTTGCACATTATTTATTCAGCTTTTCTATCTATCATTGTGCATAAATGCTCAACTGTATTAGCTTGCAAGGTTTTGTTCCACTTTGGCTTGTTTTGCATGCTTTATGTAATCTGCATTAGTGTTTGTTGGAAATTACTACTACGGAGATTTTTTGGAATTTCACCCTTCCATTTATGATGAACAACGAATGCTAGTAGCTCGAAGGATAAGGATGTTGTTTAAGAAGAAGGTGAGCTGGTTGAAGAGCAGGATGCCTGCTATATTCTGTATGTTGTGGTAGACTATTTTGATAATTTATTTTTATACTATTATATATATTATATGGGCAAGTAATTTTAATTTCTTTATATAAATATTATTTTGTATCCTTCATAAGGAGAAGAGTATTGCCGGGTGCTGGTATGTGCTGTCAACCAAGATGGTTGCTATATTTTTAACATAATATTATGATTTGCACAGTATGATATCATTTTAGGTGATAATAGATTAAGTTGAAAGCACGGTTGATTGTGGATCACTCATTAGTTATTCTAAAGGTTTGAAATATTTGATTGATGGATTCTAATATTGAAGGGAAAAAAATTTCCCTATCTTTCACCAAGTCGGAAACCTGGTATTAGTGATTCATAGTATTATATTGATCCTATTAGTATATATAAAAGTAAGGTGTTGCAGGAAATTGCATAGTTATTGGTCAATTTGGGTCAAGGTCATGTAGTTTTTCCACATTGTCACAAAAGTTTAGGGACCAAAAACCTTTTTTTCCCCAAAATTCTTCACTCTTTAAAATTGGATTTTGTCTCTATTCTTTCCTGTAAAAAGATATATATATAAATA